TATGATGGAGTCGTCATCTTCTTCCCTCTGCTGCCTCTTACGGAAAGAATGGGCTCTGAATGCAGACTGTATCCGGGCGGCGGCCTGGGCGGCATTGCGAACGGCGGCCAGGGTGTGCCTGAGGTCCTCGTTTGGAGTGGGACCCGCGGACATGGAAAGACTGTCGACTGTTCTCTCTGCTTCGAGGGCGGCCGAACCTCTGGAGAGTTCAGTCTCGGCTAGGGTGAGAGATGAGAGGTGGGTGGTGAGAGCGATTTCCGAGAGGTATCCGGCGAGTCCCTTGTGGCCGCAGGTGGCAGCGATCGATGCCGGAGTTTTGCCGGTGGGGTCGTGTGAGTTGGGATCTGTCACGGCTCCGGCAGAGGCGCTCGATGCTATGAGAGCCGCAACCATTTTCTCCCTAATATGAATATATTTATGTCCATTGAATTAAGTACATGATATGAAAGGGTCCTCCTATATAAGGTGGATCGGTAGATATTCTTTTCAAAAATCATGGGCAGGATTCGACTGTCTAGTTACAAATATTTAATTCATGAAATAAGTAAAATCTTTTTGTTCGTTCAAGATCGCTTTATAAGAAATACACACACACACACGTACCTCCCGAATCGTGCAGCCCAATGCAGAGCTGTCCATCCATTAATGTCACGAAAATTAACGCTCACTCCAGCATTAAGAATAGGCTGCAATGCCCATTCAAATCCCAACCCAGCAACCATGTGTATAATACCTTGTTCTTTCTTGGACAAAAAGCATTCTTTTCTGGCACTCGTTTGTAACCTGTACGAAAGCCACATTTCCAGCTTGTCCTTGAGAAGTTCCTGTAGGAGCCAATCAAGAGTGCTCGATGTTGAAGTGCTGCCAACTAAGAGAGCATCAATAATATGACTCCACAAGTCCTCAGAATTTCTCGATTTCCCCAATAGGTCGACTCTTGATTCCAAAGCATCATCGTTTTGGAACGCATTGGATAGTAGTAGCATCTGCACGAACCGCACTAGCAACAAGAGTTCTTCCGAGCTTTTATTAGCATCTGTTTTAGGGCGATATTCAAACTCCCTGACTTCACTGCAGGATTCCCGATTTCCACAAGTCACGCTGATGTGAACTTTTCCGAGCAGGTGAGGAGGGGCATGGCAGCATAAGACTCCTTCCTGAATCACCTGAGCTGGCACTTCAGTGTCTCCAATCACGCAGGCCCACGAAGAAGACTCTGATGGGTTGCATAGGAAAGACCCAATAATGAAGATCTGCATGTAGATTTCGAATCAAGGGTAGATATAACTTTGGAAGCTCATAGGATAGAATCTTTGACTCACCCAAAATCTATGAGAAATTTAAAGCCCACGTTTTAAAGGAAATATCAACTAATAAACCTGATCTTCACGACATACCTTAGCACCCTCAGAGGTATAACACCATTCTGGAGATATCTCACGAATAGTAAACTTCTGCTTTTGGGAAATGGTCAAACTTATATTGTTTTCAAGAGGAATTCCCAACACGTCTTGCTCGAATAACGATGAGTAGCAGTCCGGAGTGCTTCTGTAAGCATGGGGGCCAGGAGAATATGCAGGATATTGCAGGGAATCTGCTTCTTTGATAGATAGAGAAGCTGGCAAGGTAAAATGTTAATCAGAATTCTCGCAGAATAAAGATTCCGAATAAAAAGAGAGAGAGAG